GGATAATCTTTATTCAAAAGTAATAATGATCCCTAAATCACAAAGAGCGATAAAATGTAAAGATCATAAACTGATAAGTTTATTGAGCCATTTACTTAAGGTGTTTCTCCGCATTCTTCACACAAGAATGTTCAGAAAGCTGAAAGAGCTAAGCTGTGAGACACAATTTGGTTTCAAGACCGGACTGGGTACACGTGAAGCAGCTTTCTGCTTGAATACGCTTGTACAAAACTGCACGGATCAACGCAAGGATATAGTCATAACATTCCTCGATTATGAAAAAGCGTTTGACACCGTAAATCATGACGCAATGATAAAAATGCTAAACAACGCTAACATTGACGAGAAAAATATAAGAGTTATCCAGAATCTCTATTGGAATCAAAAAGCACGAGTGAGACTGAACAAAATACACCCCTGTCGGAGTGCGACAGGGGTGTATTTTGTCTCCTATGCTCTTCAATCTTTATGTGGAGAACATTTTTGCAGATGCAGTGGAAGACTCTGAGTGTAGAATAAAGGTAAACGGGTTCCGGATAAACAACATTCGTTTTGCTGACGACAGCGCGATAATAACAGACAACGAACACGATATGCAGTTGATTTTAAATAAAATTAAACACCTTAGGAAAAATATATGGCTTGAAGATAAATGCTGGAAAAACTAAATGCAATGCAATAAGAAAAAACACACTTTTAAGAATACAACTGCAAGTAGATAATGCTCCAGTCGATCAAGTGAAAACATTCAAATACTTAAAAATGAAGATGAATGACCAATGGGATGATCATCATCATTGGCTTTTACAACTCTTCGTGAGTTTTTGCCGTGTTTACTATTGCCTTCCATTGATTCCGATCCTGTGTTATTATTTCAGATGGCCTTACTTCCATCTTCTCCAGGTCTTCCCTGACTGCGTCTTTCCACCTTTTTCTAGGCCTTCCTGTCGATCTTTTACCATCTGGTCTTTCCCAAAATACATTGCTAATCAGTCTGTCGTCATCACTCCGTACCACGTGACCTGCCCATCTTAATATATTGGCTTTTATGTATCTTACGATGTTTCCTTTCCCGAAGAGAGTCTCTATTTCATTGTTGTATCTGCTCCTCCATTCATTTGTCACGCTGCCCCTGCAAGGACCATATATATTTCGCAGGATTTTGCGTTCCCATACTAATAGCTTATTGATTTCTTTCTTTCTCAATGTCCATGTTTCACTTCCATATGTCACTGCTGGTCGTATTATGGTTTTGTACATTTGGATTTTGGCACGCCTTGAGAAACGCTTTGACCTCATTAGATGTTGTATATGGTAATATTTTGTCTTATTCGCTGTCGTTCCTTTTTTGATACGACCATATATTTAGTTTTTTCTTCGTTTATTTTCAGGCCTACGCTTAGTGTTGCTTCTTCAAAATTCGATTCTATATCCTTAACTTCCAGTGTTGTCTGTGCTACTGCATCTACATCATCTACAAATGCGAGAATAATCTTTGCTCCTCTGGCAGTTATGTCTGGTTTGACTCTGGTATAGATTTTTCGCATTGCGTATTCCAATGCTAGGTTAAATAGTAATGGGGACAGCGGGTCTCCCTGTCTGAGCCCGGTGCTTATGCCGAAAGCCTTTGAAGTTTTGCCTCCTTTTCTAATTTGTGCAAAGGAATTGTTAACACACATTCGCGCAATAATCTGTCCTATTCCCAGGCAATAGTATTCGTTTCGTAGCAGTGTATTTTTCCGTGTATGGATCGCTGGTCCATAGCACAACCCCCAACCTGGAGGACCAGAATTTTCTGTCTGGGTTTATTCCCATAGCCGATATGTTCCAGTTTTAAGGCGCCAGAAACTCGTCTTTCACCCTCTCTCGTCAGCTAGATAACGCATACCCATTGTGCGCCATGCACCCAGTGGTTACGCGACATATTGCCTTCGAGGACGTGAGAGTAGGGATCCTCAACAAGAAATAAAATGCCGTACCGAACAGGCAAGACAAGCTTTTATCAAATTTAAAGCGCTACTATGTAATCACAATCTTTTCTTTAATCTCCGCTACAGAATGGTTAAATGCTATGTATGGTTCATATTGTTATACGGCATAGAAACATTTACGTTAAGAGTACCTTCCATTAATAAGTTAAAGGCCTTCGAAATGTGGATGTTGCGAAGAATGTTCCGCATACCATGGACAGATAGGGTGAGAAACGAGGAAGTCTTAGAAAGGCAAACACTGAGAGAGAACTACTCAATTTGATCAAGGTACGAAAAATTGGATACCTCGGCCATATTCTGGGAGGAAAAAAATACGCAATCCCTCAACTAATCATCCAGGAAAAGATTGAAGGTAAGAGAGTAGGTCGCAAACAAACGTCGTGGCTACGGAACATAAAGAACTGGACAGGCATAAATAACACTGGCGATCTTTTGCAAAAGACAGACGTCTGGCCTTAAGATAATTCGCCAACGCACTATAGGTGCACGGCACTATAAGAAGAAGAAGAAACATTTTTTAGTAAGCAACAAGCATACAATTTGTTTAATTTTGTTATTATTAATTAATTATTATTATTGTTTTGTATTTTAAGAACGATTTCCGAAGTGGAAATCGAAACGTTAATCTTAGGTTAAACAGGTAAATTGCAGAGGTGTGATGGCCAATTATTGGCAAATGTAAGACGTCAACTACTTCTGTAATTTACTAGAATACGTTTTGCTTTTATTATTATTTAAAAGCATCCTCAGTTCTCTACAAAAAGTAGTGATGCAAGAATATAAATAAAAAACGAACAGAGAAACAATTTGTATTCTTTTTTATGTTGTGAAAACTCTACGGAACTTAATATTATAAGTTGACAAACTAAACTACATATAAAACACAAGAAAAGCTTAATGAAGGCACTAATGTTTATTAAATGTGCTCGCACTAACCTTACATAGGCTAATTTTAAAAACTTTCGTTGTTTAACGAAATCTAGTAGTTTTCTTGTCTTGGAATATTAGAATTTCTAAAACCTCTTAATTTGTAAAGTGGTCCACCCGTAAAATTCTGAGCAATCTACTAAGATATTACATTTAGAAAACTTCAACACGATTCAGAGATCGCTCCTTAAGTGACCAGGTCTCATTTTGTGAACATCAGGATGAATTATAAAATATGAACATTTTAAGACCCGTATTTAAAGGAAATTTACGCTGGTAGAGATACTTATTAAATTTTTCGAGGAATTTACATCAGACAACGTAAATATTTTGGAAAGGTTTTTTGCAAACTATACTGGAGTGCAAAATTAACCGGACACTTAGATTTTTTGTTTTTTTTTTAGTTGTTTAGATCAAAACTTGTTTAATTTGTTTGAATTTTATATTATGCCATATTAGCGATAACGTTTTTTTCTTGTTTGAACCTATTTAGATGTTTTGTGCGAACAACAACACTTTTATACATGCGTTTTGTTAGTAATGTGAAATAGTGGATTAGTATTATTTAAGTTTATTGTGGTACTGTACCTAATTATAAGTACAGCTGTAGGTTTTTGTATTGTCTTCTGTTTAAAACCTACATAAAAAAAATATGACACCAGAAGCAGTTGCACCAGCTGTTGCTTTACCGGATGATGGGCGGATCATTCGTTACGTCGCAAGTGCTTTAGGAACTTCTCGAACTACAGTGTTTGATGCAATACAAAGATTTCGGGAAACAGGCCAATATACCAGGAGACCAGATCAAGGTAGACGGAGAACCACAAGTCAAGTTGAAGATGGTACATTATCAGCACAAGTGCTTGTTCAATGAATAAATCATGTCCATAGAAACACAGATTCCGTTTATACCGTTCGAAAATGATTAAATAACTATGGATTAGGGTCCAAAATATCTGTCATTGGACCTCTATTAACAGCAGATCATCGGAGGCAACGTTTACACTTCTCTCGCGAACATCTTAATTTGAGTGTTGACGATTGGAGTGCTGTGCTTTTTACGGATGAATCAAGATTTAACAGATGCTCATTAGATGGGCGGTCTAAAATATGAAGAAGTGCTGGTGAACGTTACCAGCAATATTGTCTTACTCCGAGAGTTCAATTCGGTGGAGGTGGTATAATGGTGTGGGCAGGCATTTCCCTAGAGGCTCATACAGAACTTGTTACAACTCAAGGGGGCAAGTTGAACGCTTAACGGTATATTCAGCAATGTTTGTAAGATCATGTAATGCCATTTGCCTCATTTTATGGAGAAAATTTTCGTCTGATGCAAGATAATGCTCGTCCACACATCGTAAGAATAACACTGGATTACTTTGACAAAGTTGGGATTCGTTTATCCATGGTCCCCAAGGAGTGCAGTCTTAAATCCAATAGAGCATGCATGGGATATTCTGGAACGACGTATTCGACGTAACCATGGTGTGTTTGAAACCATAAATGATTTGGAACAAGCAGTGGGACAAGCAGACAAATGGGAGCAAATCCATTAAGACTCTCACTTTGCTGCCTTAATTCGAAATATGCCTAACCGAATGAGAGTCGTAATTAGGGCTCGTGGATCGTGGAGGTAATACACTCTACTAAATATTGTTTTCCATAAAAAAATGTTTCTATGTAAAAAGTAATTTTTGTTTCTTTGGAGATTTTCACATTTTTTGAATTGTTTATTGTTTTTTTTTGTGTAGCATTCTTGAGTTTTGATAAATTTGACTTTTAAATTTTGTTTTTTATTAAATACTTAATTGGGAACATCTTAAACTTTTTTAAACGCCAGTTTTTAGAAATAATCTGGATGACCGGTAATTTTGCACCCCAGTGTATTTCCAAATCAAGTTATAGATCGGCATAAATTTGTTTGTACGTCTTTACACTCTCTTTGATAAACTAAAAAAATATCCCTATATAATCTATTTAATAATTAAATTAAATAATCTACAAAAACAAACGATACACTATTTGTTATATCTACCTATCTATATTCTGCTATATTTAAACAATTATTTATTTATTCTTTAGATGGCAAGAGGCTGTTGGTGGTACTACATTTCCAAATTTACAGAATTTTTTGACACGGTAAGTTGTTACTTCTTATATATTATTTATTATCTTCTTATTAAGTACTACGATATTATGTCTTATTGTATATATTATACCTTATGTACTGGATTTGATAAAATTCTATTATAACGTGTCCAACGTATTAACGTAATGATCAGAACTCATTCTTATAATACTCTAGATTTTTCGTTTAACAGTTGATAGAAGTATTCCTTTCAGTTTTTAAGATTTCCTTGTCATCACTAATAAGCTGTCCGCTGTCGTTTTAAATATTTTCCTGTTCTTACTTGGTACCCGGCCTTAATCGCTAAAACTCCTTTAAATAATTGACTTGGTTGTTCTTCCGATTTTCTTCTACATATTTGAATAACTGTTCCTGGTACTTCTTCTTTTTCCTTTTTATTTGTTTTCTTGCCTCTGTTCTCGTCTGTTCATACATTTCACTGTTTTCGTGCAAGGGATTGTGTAGCATGACATGTACCTTCTAACCACGTTTTTTTCTTTTATGGATTTTAGGCAATCGTCATCGAACCATTTTTTGCTATTCTAATTCCATCTGATACGTTTGTCTAAGTTAATTTTATATTTTTCCAGGCAGAGTCTGTTTGTTATTTTTTCGGTAGCTCTTTTGCGACCAATTGAAACATTTCACACTATTTCGTTTCTTTTACCATGCGACAAAATTCATTTGTATTCCGACTATGCCAATTTTTGTTTTCGGAAACCTAATGTTATAAACCAGTCGTACTACAATTAATTTTCTTATTGTACATCTTTCATTCCTACATAGTACCCCTTCCAGAATTCTAAAACAATGTATAGATCTAATAAATGTGTTTGGAGCCACCTGGTAGTCTTTTTTTGTCGTCTTTATAGAGAGAGGTCTGGAATCTTCAAAATACATCTCAGTCCAGGACGCCGCCTGACGGACCTCAGTGCAGAATTCGTTCTTAGTACTCCCGACGATAGTTCCCGAAGTACTTTAAAACGTCCTCTCGTCCTCGAGTCTACGCCAAACGCCTACCTGCTAAAACAGACCCTCCTCTATTATACAGCGATCCGGAAGCGGTATGGCCGCTGTAAATCTGGTATCACTTCCGAAGCACTACCTTCATTCATCCACAGACTGTCAGCAAGAATGCTCCCTGTCCCTTTTCCCGGTATCCCCTTTGTTTGGTCCCAAAAACGGGCTTTTTTATAGCAATCCTATTCCAAGTAGCGTGTGGAAGACCTTCATCGCTCCTAGTACTGCATCACGGCCAGATGGGCATTTCCTCCATTCTTACAGTCTGACTCAAACAGTCTAAATCACACAGTCTAACTCGTACAGTCTTATTCACTTTTCTACCGCTAACTTTCAGCATATTTCTCTCTTATCTTTGCCGTTGTTCCAGCTGTCTTTCTTCCTCTTTATTTTTCTTGATCACTGCACACATATAGTTGTGCACACTTGTCCAACCTGCTTTATTTTCAATCACTGTCTCTGATTCCGTTCTGTATTATTCCATCATATTTCCCATTGTATGCAGGTCTCCCGTGACTGGCGCTTGTCTGGTAACAAAGCCGGTTGTGATTTTGTCTCTTGAAGATACATTTTTTATTTGCTTGATCGGTTGTACCAGTACGTTACGATATGTTCAGATTCAGGCTTTTTGCCAGTCGCGAATGGTCGCTAATGGAAAAGCTTAAAATCATTTTTAATAAATACTTACCTAATATCTTTTTCTTTTTGTGCCACTCCTATCGGAGATTAAAAATCATTAAGGCTATTCTGACCTTGTTTACGGCTGACCTAAAGAGTTCATTAGTGGTGCAGCCAAACCACTCTCTCAAATTCCGCAACCATGACATTCTTCTACGGCCTGGATTCCGTTTTCCTTCTATTTTTCCCTGCATTATATTTTGAAGTAATGCGTAATTATGTCCTCTCATCAGGTGACCAAAATATTCGAGTTTTCTTCGCTTTAGCGTTAACAAAATCTCTGGGTCTTTTCCTATTCTTCGTATTACTTCACAGTTTGTTATTCTTTCAACCCAACTAATCTTCAGCATTCGACGGTAGCACCACATCTCGAAACTTTCAATATTTTTCATGTTGTTCTGTTTGAGAGTCCAGGCCTCTACACCGTATAATAGCGTGTTAAATACATAGCCTCTCAGCATTCTTAATCGTAGAGGGATGCTTATATTTCTGTTGCAGAAGAATTTTCTCATCTTTATGAAGGTGGCCCTGGCAATTTCGATACGTCTTTTTATTTCACTGTTTTGGTCTCCAGTTTCGTTTATTAAAGTTCCCAAGTATTTGTAACTTGATACTTTTTCAACTTGAGTGCCGTTTATACTAATATACGCTGGTTGTGTCATGTTTTTACTGAAGACCATATACTTGGTTTTTTTAACATGGATATTTATACCATAATTGTTGCAAGCAATATTTATGTCTGTAAGTAATCTTTGTAATTCTTCTACTGTTCTTGCAACTAGTACAGTGTCGTCCGCGTATCGAATATTATTTACAATCTCTCCATTAATTACGATTCCTCCGTTTGCTTGTAAAAGGGCTTCCTGACAGATGCTTTCACTATATACATTAAATAAAAGAGGTGACAAAATGCAACCCTGTCGTACTCCTCTACGTATTTCTATTGCTTGTGATGTTTCAGTTTCTTTTTTGATGTTCTCTTTCTGATTCCAATATAGATTGAGAATTATTCGCAGATCTTTATTATCTATGTCCTTCCTTTCAAGAATCTCTCTAAGCTTATCATGGCGTACTCTGTCAAACGCTTTTTCAAAATCGATAAAACACGTATGTACTTCCTGATTAACGTCTAGGCATCTTTGTGTTAGAACATTCAAACCAAAGAGAGCTTCTCAAGCACCAAGCCCTTTTCTGAACCCCATCTGTGTATTACTAATATCTGACTCCAACTTTTGATAAACTCGGTTGTGGATGATTTTTAGAAATATCTTTAGTATGTGGCTCATTAAAGATATTGTTCGACGTTCTGAACATTCTTTAGCATTAGATTTCTTTGGCAGTGTAACGAATGTAGACACCAGCCACTCTTGAGGTATAATGCCAGTATTGTATATTGTATTAAATAAGTGCAATATTATACCTATTGATTCATCATTCAAGAGCTTTAGCAATTCGGTAGGAACCTCATCCGGTCCATTTGCCTTCCCAGTTTTGGAATTTTTAAGTGCCACTTCTACTTCACATTTTAGAATTTCAGGTCCCGTTTCGCCATATATCAGAACAATGTTATTTCTGTTGTCCCCAAATAATTCTCTTATGTATTCACTCCATCTATTAATTTTCTCTGTTAAATCTATAATAATCTTTCCATCTTTGTTCTTAAGCAAACTTATTTGACGTCTTCTTTGGGTTCCTGTAATTTCTCTTACTTTTTTATGTATATTGAACGTATCATACTTTCTTTCATAGTTTTCCATTTCTACACATTGTTCTGTAATCCATGATTCTTTGGCATTTCTTATTCTTTACTTTATGTTCTTATCAACCTCTTTGTATTTTTCTGCAATATTCTTCATTTTACGTCTTTCATCCATTAGTTCTAGAATGCCTGATGTCATCCACACCTTATGTTTCTTTGCAGATTTGGTTAGGTCCCCTTAGTTCTTATTATAGTATTTATATACTTAAGTTTTTCATCTATGTTGTCTGTTACCTAATATAAATATATCAAACGTATATTAAGATTGGGTATAAGTATTGTTTAAACATTTATATACATGGTAAACTAATACCATCCAATACAAGTATGGAAACGTGGATTTAAATCTTGGAAGGGTTTTGAAGTAAGATATTCAGTTCATTACGAAAATATTTAAACTCAGGCAGCACTGCGGGCTGTAAATGTAAGTTGCCTACATTTGGTGCAACGTAGGAAGTTTCCAAAATATAAATACTTTATATCACAACAAGAAGAAAATGTTTATAAAAATTAAATTTAGCGTTTGAAAATAAAAAAATATATAATAATAATAGCAACATATTATTATATTAAATTATCTATACAGTAATAAAGCTGACTACCTGAGCCATCTATTTGGTAAGTGCCGAACGAAGATACTCGACAAAATAGGAATTTGTCTGAATTAAATTCGGAAAAACCTGTGTGGTATTGTAACAGATAATCCAAATTAAAAAAATTTAAATAAAAATAACACATTTTTAGAAAATTTATATTGTGATTCATATTTTAACATGTGACGAACTTATATTAAAAGGAACCAAAAAATTGCAAATTGGGGAAACTATAACATACAGAATACATTTTAATTATTTACAGCTAAATAGCAAGAATCACAATGCACCACTGAATGCTCTAAAGCTCTTATAGCTTTTTTTACAAATCACACAATTATAAATAGTCTTTCTGTCCTATTTTCTCGGGTAAACATTACATCTTTTGGCTACTTTCGTTCTTTTACCTGGTTATAACTTCATCATTTATTGCAATTCCTTCAGGATGGACTTCTAAATTTAGAGGAAGCCTTAAGTTGGTAGATAATGGTAGATAGTGGTTATAAACTGTATTGCTAATAATTTCAAAAATTCCCTTCGTTTTGTCTGAAAATCGCCAGTATTGTGTTAATAAATTACTCTAGCATTTATACCTGTACAGTTAAGTATAGTATAAAAAATTGTAATGGTCCACCTTTGGCTTTTTGTGAAAGATCGTATGAAACCGACAGTTCATCACATCTGCCCCACATTTTATAAACTTATAAAAATGAATTATTTTTGATTTATTACTTTCGCCAGTGCTATCGTCAATATCAGGAGTGTGGTGTAAAGTTGACATTAGAAGAACTACTTTTCGTGTTTTGGTACATGTAAAACTAACGTTATATCTACTCTCTTGAAATCCTTATTTTGTGGAATGTGCTGGACTGTTTCTAGCTGTTAAAAAACTTTCAGGTATTTGCCTTTTGTTTTTCCTTACAGTTCCAGTAGACGTCAACTGGTGATCTTGTCAACAAGA